TTAGTACTGTTGATATATAAGTGACATTTCTTTAAGTTTAACTTGATAGTTTTGCATACAATATTCTGATAGTTTTTTTCCCCAAATAAACATAAGAATATGCGAATATAACCTCCATATACCCATACACATGCATAAACTAATCTTTTTTTCGTTAAATTTTGAGAGATAATTTTAAAGAAAACTGTTCGCTACATAATTCAATTCTGCATATATTGTAAATGGAGGGCTACACATTACACTGCTTATATGGAATAATTTACATTTGAATGTTTTCAGAGAAAGAGGATATTTGGGTTCTGAAAGCCCCATGAACTCTTATAGTGATTTGCAGCCTCTTTAATGAACCTCTTTAATGAGAAATCCTTGATAAAATTGCCCCTTTTGTCTAGTTTGTTTTTAATGAAGAGGTTCAGCTGGATTTATAAGATATTAATTCCACTCTCATCCTTTTCTTTCAAGCAATGCATAATTTAATGGCATCAGCCTTCTTTAATAGAAATGTGAGCGATGATTCTCAACCCTTCGAATCAATTGTATTTTTTGAAAAATGTGGCAAGCAGTTTCTCATGACAGATGGAAAAACTGCGAGAAAGGAGACATCTTCAAAATGTAACCAGTCTAGCATCTGAGACGAATCCAAATTTTAGCAGAAAAAAACACAAGCTAACCTCTGCATGTAATGATTGTATCAGACAGGAAGAAGGGGTGTTTTTTCTGTAATACATTTTTTTTAAATAACATAGCTGAGAATAATTAATCTTTAATTAAAATTATATACGTATAAATTTCAGCTTAAGGTTTAAAGTTAATATTTGCTTATACTCAAAATGTTACCAAAAATGCACTCCAGCCTTTAAACATGAACATCTGCTGAAATACAGTGTCAAGCCTGTAAATTAAACATGCTCAGTAGGACTGGAAATGGACATCATAAGTTACTCATACTTTAAAGATCACCTCATTACTTATTAGTTACTGTAGAACAGTCTCGGTCAGCTTGACTGTGCCATGATGTCCTGGAGAATTTAATATCATGATGGGGTTGTTCTTTTGAAAAGTAGGCAGAAAGAAATCGATTACAAGGAGCTTCCAGAATTCTGAGAAAGTGGGAAGAACTCGGGAAATTACTTGGAAAAATACATGACAGCAAGCAAACAAAAAAGCTAATTGAAGAACCAAGAAGCATAGTAGTTTGCCACTTCTGCTACAGGTACAGCTTCATTTACACTTGAAAAATGAACTTTTCAAAAAAAAAATTCAACTTTAATTCATTTGCTGCATATTCTTTAAAATATGAGTTTTTTTTATTCTAAAATACCTGTTTATCAAGTGAATCGAAATTCCATCAAACCATAGGAGCAACATCTGTCAAAGGTTAATGGCCCCCCATCTCAGGCCTTGATAGTGTGCCAAACACAAACACGCACAATGCTGGGCAATGGTGCCAAAGACGCACATTGTAAAGGGCGATGTAAAGAAAGGACATTTGCGAAATTGAATTGTATCCGATTAATTGAGAAAACACAAAAACATTAACATTATAATAATGGATTTATCATTCCATTATGATTCATTACTGCTAAACTGGACAAAAGAGTTTTCACTAGTTTTTGGTGCATGCATTGTGGTTGCTCTTTTTATAGAAATTGTCATTCATCATAATTAACAAAAAATCTTTGTTTTTAGAGTAAAATAAGATGCTACAATTATATTTTGCTTAATTTTTGATATATTCCATCCATCGTCCAACCTGCTTATTCTACTGGGTCATCCGATGCCTATCCCAGAAGCAACGGGCATGAGACAGGAAACAACTCTGGATGGGGAGCCAGCCCATCGTAGGGCACACTCACAATCACACCTATGGGCAACTTAGCAAGCTAATTAGCCTTAGCATGTCTTTGGACTGTGGGGGGAAACTGGAGCATCTGGCGGAAACCCCATGACGACACGGGGAGAATATGCAAACTCCACACACATGTGACCCAGGCGGAGACTCGAACCCAGGACCCAGCGGTATGAGGCAACAGTGCTAACCACTGCACCACCATGCCGCCCCTTTCTGATATATTCTGAATCTTAAATCTTTTTGGGCCCACAGTCTTACTAACATCATTAATCTAGAACTCAAGATTGAACAGAGATCGACCGGAAACTGTAAATGCCTGGAAAAGCTTTTTATCTAAAATCCTTCACTGGAAAAGAGACTGTAAATGAACAGACTACAATATATAATGTATACATGTTGTCTGCATGAGGTGGGAAGGTTTTCTGAAATGCCTGATATTTCATTTCATTGTTGTTTATAAAAATTCAATGAAAATTATTGATCAGAAAAAAAATTCTGATATATTCTCTAATAAAATAAACACATAATAAATGGAAAAATATTTGTCTACTCTTTCATCTAAATTCTGCTGCCGGATTGAACTATCTTAGCTATGATTGTCAAATGTCAATATCTAATACAAGCAATAATGACATCCATATTTATGTATAATAATTAATATATTAACCACTATTACGATTAGGTGCCATCAATGTCAGCTCCTGACAGCTACATGGGCAGTACTATTGCTGTACACCAGTGCTATCACTTAATGTGTGCAATGTAACCCCATCACTTAAAATTACTATCATCCAATTAGAGGTCATATGCTTTAAATAGCATTTTCACTTTTATTTAGAAGTCACCCTCTTTTTAGATCAGGGGTGGGCAATCTTATCCGCAAAGGGCCGCTGTGTGTGCAGGTTTTCACTGCAACTCCCTAATTAGATTACTAATTAGAGGACTGCTTGGCTGAAGAGTCCTCACACCTGGGTTTGAATAGCTGACCTACAGGTTATCCCAAAAACCTGCATACACACCGGCCCTTTGCGGATAAGATTGCCCACCCCTGTTTTAGATGTTACTATTCTTTTAATCAAGTTACACATTTTCTCAATAGAAATTCACCGCTACACGTTGCTGTCATTCATTGAAATTGTCACATGCATGCAGAGAGATGTGTGAACAGAATCTCTCATCGTGACTTGAAACGGATGATCAACATCATTTATAATTAGGTCCTAGCCTACAGACAGCAAAGCCCATTCCATCACCTCTACAGAAGTACTTTACATGAACGATGAAGATGAATAGGAAGTTAATAGGTCTCCTAAAAGACGCTCCTCCAACCATTAGAAGTGATTTTTCTCCAATGACTTGAACTTTTTTGGTGTGGCAAGAAGTCTTTCTCATTTATAATGTTCTGAAAGGTCGCCTTATTAAAAATTCATCATATTCCAAAGCATGAATATGGGAGAAAATTGGAAACTAGATTCTTAAATGAAAGACATCTGTTCCCTCTGTCAATAGATGAACAGTGTTAATCACGAGAAACGTCGTCTTCAGCGGTAGCTACTTCTTCTAAAATAGATTGTGCACGTGGAGGCTTAATGTGCCCTAAAACTGCTGAAAGTAGGAAGAAAAATGATTTCATACATATCAAATTAGTCAAATTTGTCCTTTTCACAGGGTCTTTATAATCACTCAATTCTTTAACGTTATCCTACACCTACACATAATTACACCTATATAGATTTTTTTCTTTTACTTTTTTTTCCTCTTCGATTATTGTAAGCCAGACAGAAACACCATTCAGGGAAAAGAGTGACATCTAACACTGGGTGTTTCGAGAAAAAGGATCAAACACTCACAGTTATTTTAGATGTGATAATATGAAACTAAGGAACTTCCGTAACAGCAGGGCTTTCGAGGTGTCTGGCCTGGGACGTGTCCTCCATCAGCCGCACAGCTTGACTCGCAGCTGTTCCCTGCTAACTTGCCCTGTGTGAACCAATCAGGCCCAGTGTGCACCATCCCCTGACTGGAAGCTGCCAGCTCTATCAGCAGACAGGGCCACTACTTAGCATCTGAGGGGAAGCCTTGGATGGCTTAGGTTGCCACCTGGTCCATTTCAGATCTTTAATATATGACCAGGTGAGCTGCCAAAATGACAGGCTATAAGATCAGCCACGTGGAAAGTTTAAATAATAATAATAATAATAAAACACTGTCAGTCTTACTTAGGAAATACTTATCCAAGTGTTGTAGTTCAGTGAACTCAAGCAGAATTGCGGTATTGGTGACAGCATGCAATACGCTGGAAGGTTAAGGATATTTTTATGCCACATTGTATAAGAGTGCAGAGCCAACACAAAATATTCAAGATCAGTTGAAGTGATATATTCTTATAAAACACACACAAAAAATCAATTGACAAAACTAGATATAGAAATAAAAATAAAAACTGTTAACAGTCTAATAAAAACCATAACATATTTGATGGCATTTTAAAATGAGTAATATCACAATACAAGCAAGCAAATTTATATAATTTTTAAAGTTTATATCCACAAAGCTCAAAGTTGCAAAAACTCCAGGGTATGCACAGATAAATAAATATTCTTTATTGTCTTTAATTATTATAGTGATTTAATTTTAGTAGCTAGTTTTAGTCGGACTATCAATTACAGTAAATCATTGTAGTAGATTTGATTATAGTACAAAACGACTTTAATTAGTCTATGTATGTGACAGCATGTCGATGGTATGATTAAATCCTGTTTCAGTACTGTCACAATGTGAAGACAAACCGGTTTCCATCAATCTGTTTCCAACAACGTGAAGCGACATGATTTAATACTTTGGAGAGAACAACCTAACTGCTCAAGATGCAACATAAAAACTACGTGATGCATTAATCGTCTAGCTTTATAATGCTTTAAATAGTTCAGTAACATTACAGTGGAAACCATTGTCCCAAAACCGATTCCTTCATTTTCCCACCTGCCACAGGAAAAAGTAAATAATATTTACACACACGACTGCACCATTAAAACGGTGGCTTCCGCAATTCACGTAGTATGGAAGTAGTACCTTCGATCACATAAAACTCAACAAAAAATGAATAATTTCATCGCCAAGTAGGTGAATGGATGATTGAGTTACTCACAGCAGCGGAGTCTCCTCCAGCGGGCAGAATCCTGGTGTCTCCTTGTGTGTGACCCTCGTGTATCTCCTCACATGGGATCTCCTTTTCGTGGGCACCGATTTCTTCATCGCTGTCACCGAATCTGACTCTTTTTATTTCAGGCTGTGACTCTTGTATATCCTCCCTTCTCAATTTCACTACATCTCTAGCTTTACCAATTTCACCATTGCCGGAATAATTCTCCATCGTGACAGGATTCAGTTTCCGTCCCCCGACTCTTGAACAGCTAGTTGCTGTTTGTTGGTCTGCCTGGTGCTCTTCCTCCGACTCCAGATGTTTCCAGGTCCAGGGCTGACAGAATGAAACCCCACGCATGGGCAGGGGAAGTGTCCGCTTCGTGTGCGCACCGCCGCCGTCCGGCTCTCGGTGCTGAAGCTGATCAGATCCCTCCCAGCTGCCAAGCTGCGTCAGCAGCACCGGAGCGCCCAGTAACACGTTTTTACACAGTATAGTACACTCACGTGCGTAAAGCCTGATACCACTTCGGTTTGTACCGCTTGACATTAGACATTAGACAGCACTATCTGACGTGAGGAAAACTGGACTTAAGCCTTCTGCCGAAGAAACTGAAATCTAATGTATTGTCTATATTGAATTATGTACTGTATATACTTCACACGAATATAATAGCAAGGAAAGAGAACTAATGTTTTTCACTTTGTGGTTCTTTAACAAAATATTACTGAGCTTCACTTTCCCTCTTTTTTTATTTTCATCTCTAAGTTACTTGTCTTCTTGACATTGCCTTCTTAAAATTAATAATATTCTGTTGATTTCCAGTGTTTCCAACAATGTCAAAATGAATATTTTGTGGGTGAGTCCATGTAATTAAAATGCTGGGCAGGGTAGTTTCACATAATTTTATTTACCTTAGCTAAAATAAGAAGTCCCTATGCTGTTTCTGGTCTTCCTAAGTTTAAATATTCACTCAAAGTGGTTGGTACTCTTGTTCAGTGGACAGAACTGTAGATTCTCACATGCAGCACTGAGGATAAGATTCCTGCTGTGTGGATTTTGCATGTTCTCCTCATGTTTCTCTGGGTTTCTTGCAGTCACATCCATGTCTCGGATCTTCCAGTATTCAGAAACGTGTAGATTAAGGTCTCTAAAACTGCCTTTGCTTCCTGAGACAGGCACTGGGGTCTATTTCACCTCTCATTGAATAAATAATTACAGAAAAATTGATGGATGTTACACCAACATTTGTCATAGTTCTAGCCAAACTTATACACTCACCTAAAGGATTATTAGGAACACCATACTAATACGGTGTTTGACCCCCTTTCGCCTTCAGAACTGCCTTAATTCTACGTGGCATTGATTCAACAAGGTGCTGAAAGCATTCTTTAGAAATGTTGGCCCATATTGATAGGATAGCATCTTGCAGTTGATGGAGATTTGAGGGATGCACATCCAGGGCACGAAGCTCCCGTTCCACCACATCCCAAAGATGCTCTATTGGGTTGAGATCTGGTGACTGTGGGGGCCATTTTAGTACAGTGAACTCATTGTCATGTTCAAGAAACCAATTTGAAATGATTCGAGCTTTGTGACATGGTGCATTATCCTGCTGGAAGTAGCCATCAGAGGATGGGTACATGGTGGTCATAAAGGGATGGACATGGTCAGAAACAATGCTCAGGTAGGCCGTGGCATTTAAACGATGCCCAATTGGCACTAAGGGGCCTAAAGTGTTCCAAGAAAACATCCCCCACACCATTACACCACCACCACCAGCCTGCACAGTGGTAACAAGGCATGATGGATCCATGTTCTCATTCTGTTTACGCCAAATTCTGACTCTACCATTTGAATGTCTCAACAGAAATCGAGACTCATCAGACCAGGCAACACTTTTCCAGTCTTCAACTGTCCAATTTTGGTGAGCTCGTGCAAATTGTAGCCTCTTTTTCCTATTTGTAGTGGAGATGAGTGGTACCCGGTGGGGTCTTCTGCTGTTGTAGCCCATCCGCCTCAAGGTTGTGCGTGTTGTGTCTTCACAAATGCTTTGCTGCATACCTCGGTTGTAACGAGTGGTTATTTCAGTCAAAGTTGCTCTTCTATCAGCTTGAATCAGTCGGCCCATTCTCCTCTGACCTCTAGCATCAACAAGGCATTTTCACCCACAGGACTGCTGCATACTGGATGTTTTTCCCTTTGCACACCATTCTTTGTAAACCCTAGAAATGGTTGTGCGTGAAAATCCCAGTAACTGAGCAGATTGTGAAATACTCAGACCGGCCTATCTGGCACCAACAACCATGCCACGCTCAAAATTGCTTAAATCACCTTTCTTTCCCATTCTGACATTCAGTTTGGAGTTCAGGAGATTGTCTTGACCAGGACCACACCCCTAAATGCATTGAAGCAACTGCCATGTGATTGGTTGATTAGATAATTGCATTAATGAGAAATTGAACAGGTGTTCCTAATAATCCTTTAGGTGAGTGTATATACATATAAAACATAGAAATGAATACTTCTCTTTAGTTCAAAAGAATGCTTCTTCGTCAACATGTTTTTGCTTATTAGTTTAATTAATATGCATGCACAGTGTCCTGTAAATACAGCATTTTGGCTTAATAAGGTAGATGTGATGGAAATTTAGGCAGAAGAATATCACAACATTGTCTGTTTATTCACAGTGGCTGGAATTTATTGACACTAAAATGTTATTGTATAGTTTGCTCTGCTGAAACTCGGCACTGAGAAGCAAACAGTGTGGGTCTGGTGCATTGCAGTTAAAATATCTCATATAATGTTAGTATTGATTTTCCTTCAGGGCGGGGATCCTCAACCAGTACTGGTTGCATGTGCCTTTTTTTAGCAAAGATTATTAAGTGGCACATTTTGAATGCTGACAGCTATCAGGTCTCGCAATATGCACATGGATCCTTGAAATGTATTTCATGGCAATTTTTCCTGTTCTGTCTGAGAGGTCTGGACTCACCTCAAGTTCAAAACCAGATATGAAATTTATATTTCATTTGTTTGGGTCAACAGCAATTTTTATTAATAAGACTTAGCACAAAGGCAGGCTGTGAACTGGCCCAGAAAGTAAAACAAAACAAAAATTCGTGATGTGAAAACTAACCCTTAAACCCTTTAAAAGTTTGGAATTTTGGCTTTCTCATAGCTTGTTTAGTTTTAAGTTTTCATTAACATGATTGCAAGAAAGCTACTTGTCTGGTGTAACGTATAAGGTTGTACAATAGATCTCCAGTATAAACAGCAAAGGTGTAATCCACCACAGTATATAATTTGCTCCTTGGAAGTTATAGATTAGTCCAGTGTTTCCCAGTCCAGTCCTTGGCAATCCACAGTTGGTCCACGTTTTTGCTCCCTCAAAGCTCCTACCAGACAGTCCACATTTTTGCTCCCTCTCAGCTCCCAGTCCAGCCCTGCTGGGGGTCCCTGAAGTCTGGATTAGGAAACACTGGATTAGTCCACCCAGATGTTAAAGGGTGCATAGAGGTTTGAGCAGAATGGAAGTCAGCAACATAAATGAGAGACATAAATACCAACAGCAGTCTATTTTCTGTTTGATGGGAATCCACTGTGATTTTGACATACTGTAGCTGTCTCTGTACTCATAAAGGGACATGAAGGACTCAGTCATACACCTTCTCCAGGGCCACACCTGTAACCCTGGACAGCGTACTCCCATGCAACATCACATAGGTGTCTGAATGAACAAAATCTGATTCGCAGTTCTACAGCCAGGAAGCAATCATTGTTGTTCCCAATGGATCCAAAGCATCATTACCTGGATCCAACGTTTTGATACTTTGTTCAGCAACCCTAGCATCTCAAATGGAAACTCATCAATCACCCCAGTTTCAGTTGCTCTAGCCAATAGACGTCAACTCTTCACTATTCTGTCCCCTCCTTAGCCAAAAGCAGAGTTTACCAGAAGAACTTTCAGGTTGTGTTTCATGTCTTTCTTTGTGGTCCCTCCAAACCCTCCTGTGTTTGAGTTTGTGACAGTGACCATAGCTCCGATCGTCAGTGGGGCATTTGATTCAGTTCGGAAAATTGTCCAGCTTTGAGGTTGCTGAAAAATCTCAAGGTCTTTATTCAAATTCATGGCTCTAATAATAACAAATAATATAAATAATATAATATAAATATCACTGTTGCTTCAATATACATTTCTAGTGCATTTATTTAGTACATCAGTAACTGATTTAATAATTGTCATCACAATCGCTCCTTCAGAAGCCCACAACAATTAATATGACCATGGGGTTAGGCTGAAAATTGCTTTCTAGTCAGGGATCAGACACTTAAGTCAATCATCCCATAATATGAGGGTGTCTAATGTAAGATGCTCCAATTTCACGTGAAAACAGGTACTACCAGATTGATTACCATCACTATCCATGCAGGAATACTTAGATTTTAGCTTCTACTTAAAAAAACAATTATTAACTGATTATGAATTTCCAACACTAAACATGCATGTTCTAATAAGAAAAACGTTTTTGTTGCTAATATTTGCTTTTATAAATCTGTCATTTTTATAATGCATTTCTAGGCTGTGCAGGGGTAAATGTTGAAAAATGATGAATTACCCATTCGGTTGTTACAGCCTTTACATTTGACACTAACATTAATATTTCATATGGAGCAATTCATTTATAGTAGGTAAATATCCACAGGCTCTTTCTAGAAGTTTATTTCAAGGTGATTCTCATGTTAATTAAGTTCTGTATTAATCTGATCATTCATCTGGCAGCTCCACTTAAGAACCCAAACTGGGATATTGAATTGAACCAATTAAGTAATGCATTTAACTTGTGTAATTTTAATAATTGAAATGGTCCCAGTGCTCTGATTGAGGATCTTTAGATCAAGGACGTAGGTTTGATTTCAGCATTGGTAGGGACCAATTCAGCCCTAAACCCTCCACCCCCGTAAACACACATGGTAACTCCCACAATATTGGTAGAGACACGTCCCTGCGATCCATTCCCAAATCCAGTGGCGCCCCCGCTACTATATACCCTAGTATAGTAGCACAAGATGGGCACAATTGCCAAGTCTGCTTATTATAAATGATTTAGTGTTTCTTGTTCTACAAAGTCACTGCAGGACAATGGCAAACTTGGTCCGCGGGTATCCTATACCCCATGAAAACCGTAACAGGGAACTTCACACACAAACAAAATACAAGTATAAAACAAACCGGAACAAACAAAATTTCACACATCCCTAATATCCACATGAACAACAATATTAATAAACAACACTTGTAAACATAAAAATAAACCTGCAATGCATGCTGGGCCACTAACTGCAATTTTTATTACGCCCTCCTCCAGCCAATGCCAAGCAGATGTTAGTGATCCTGACGTTGCTGTAGTATCTAGAATGAGGTTTTGCATCCTCTCTTGAACATGCTGTCATGTCGGGGCGGATTCAATGA